CTCTCTGTCCAGCCGGCGCTGCTCCCCCAAAGGGCGGCCAGAGCGCCTTTTCAATTACACAAATTACATGCATTTCTCCAAGTGCAAAAAGCTGCATCTTCAAGCCCAGCTTTGAGTAAGTTAAGGGGGTCATCAGTTCCTAGCACAGCTGTGACCACTGGCACCCCTCCACCATGCCTAGAACTGGGGGATGGGAGACCCCCGGGGTCCATAATGAAGAGACTTTGTTCCCAGAGAATGGAGGGAGGACAGGCAGAAATCGACACGTTTTTCCCACCCCAAGCTGCCCACAGCTCTACAGGCTGTGGGTCTTTGTGTCTCCTTCTCCTAACTGAACAAGTGGCAAGGCGTCCGCTTTCACAGTCACCCAGCAACTTTGCCCCTCAGGCCCTCGGAGCTCTCCAGCTGTTCCCCGGTTACTTGGAGTTCACACTTAGAGAGAACTCTGTGACCTGGCCCCAATGTTCGGTAAATGCCCAGGGTAGTTGCACAAGGCTCACCTGCTGAGGTGCTGTGGGATGGGACTGTGGATCCATTCCCACAGCCCTCTCCCCGCTGCCTCCCATGGTCACACTCACATGGAAGGGACTCTCCAATGACCACACTGCACTGAGCTCAGGTCAGGCCAGCACACAGTGAGGACCTGCTGCACAGCACTGGGTGCTGGGCCAGGCAGTGGAAAGGGAAGAGGATGTAAAGGGCCCTGCCTGTGTTCAAGACTATTCAAGTCTCATGGAGACTATATGAAAGACACACTACTAACATATGGAGAACAAAGTCTTTTCTACAGAATTCTATTTTTTTAATAACAACAAAGTTAAGAAGTCCTTGGGTGATACAAATGATTAACACTTGGTTGTTAACCAAAAAGTTGGCAATTCAGGGAACACTTCCTGGAGGAGGCTGCATTTCAACTAGGTGTCAAAGAATGGGTTGTAGTCGTTGTTCATTACCGTTGAGTCGAGCATGACTCATAGTGACCCTATGAACAAAAGACCTGAAGCCTTTCTATTGTCATTTCTCAAAGTTCATAGTTTCCAGAGGCATGTTGTTTAGGAAGTGGATGCCATTCCTGCTTCCATGTCATATATGCTTTTTGAGAGCAGAAATGCTAAGAAGTTGGAATTTGTGATGAGAGGAGCAAGAGGCAGAAGGGAATAACAGCAACGATAAAACTAGTAATCCACAGTGCTCACCAGGCTCTGGCCTAATCACTCACAAATAATTTAATCCATGCAAAACAAAGCAAAACTGAAAACCAGCCAATTGCCATCATCTCAGCCCTACGGAGATTTCATGCATGTCTGGTAAAACCAAGCTCCATCAGGCTCTTAGTGGCTGACTGTTCAGAAGGATTTTTTCTGAAGTGCCTCCAGGAGGACTTGAACCTCCAATCCTTCTGTTGTAGCCAAGCCCTTGGCTATTTGCACCAAAGGGACTCCTAATCCGTACTAAGCCTTATGCATTGGTATTACTGTTAACCCAGTTCCACTGATGAGGAGGGTGGATCTCAGAGAGGCAGCCGGCCTGCTCAGCCGGAGCTCAGGGCTCCGAGAGAGCGGGGTTGGGTTCCCCAGGACCCAGGAAAGCTTACGGAAGTCAGTGACTTGACCCAGGCCTCATGGCCATCTGTGAGTCACTGGAGGACTTGAGGACAGGCTCTTCACATGCTGAGCTGGGTGGCTCCAGTAATCCCACCAGGTCTGCACAGGATCACACTGAGCTGCTTTCCTGGTTCCCTCTCCTACTGCATTTGCCCACATACGGCATGGCCCACTCCGGCCACCACAAATGAATCACTGCTCCCAAGCCCACTCGCTTTCTCACTTCCCGCTCTTACTCGCCCAGTCTCCTCCACCACTCCAGCTGTCCAACGCCTCTCCCCCATCAGCATCACCTCTGCTGAGAAGACTTCCTGCCCCCCAACCCCCCCGCCACCCTGGCTGAGCTGAGAGGCTCCCTGGGTGTCTCCCTCCCTAACCACACCTCTGCCACGGCTCACTCTTATCACCTCTCTTGGCAATAAGTGTGAGATTCTCCCCCCACACCCTATGCACACAAGGCCTGACTCAGAGAAAGCCCTCTGTTGTCACAAGTGAAAGCAGATGCCTCTGCCTCACTCTTCATTCTTATTCTTACCATCCTGGTTCCTTGTCTACCAGGCTCAGCACCACTGCCCTCTCTTCTGTTCCATGAACACACCGGGTTCTTTCCCATCATAGGCTGTTTATGTTTACTATTCAACCCCTAATAGAGAAACTCTTCACCCAGCCGGCTCCTTCTTGCCCTTCAGGTCTCAGCTCAAATGTCACCTCCTCGAAGCAGCTGTCCCTGCATTCCATTATTTACCCCTTCACTCTGTTTCTTTCTACCATAGACTGTGCCACAACAGAACAACTCTTGTGTCTATTACTTATTAGCTGTGAGTCCTAGAAGAAGTTACTTCTTTTTTCTGTACCTCAGCTTTCTTATCTGTAAAATGGGACTTATAAAGAGTGTCTACTGGTAGCCTAGTGGTAAGAAACTCCACTGTGATCTCAAAGGCACATGGTTCAAAACTACCATCTGTCCCATGGGAGAAAAATGAGCAATCTCCCGTGCAATTTATTGCCTCGGAAAACCCACTAGAGGGTAAGCTGTGGGTTGGTTCCAACTTGGCAGTATTCAATAACACTGTATACAGAAGATAATAGGATTAAATACATATAAGAGCTCACAACAGCTCTGGTACGGAGTAACCTCTACCCAGCTGCCATGAAGTTGTCACGGGGTACCTAGTACCCCATGTGTATAACAGTAGAACTGTATGCCATGAGTTTACAATTTGTTTGTTTGTTTTTTCATTTTTTCAGAACTAGATCATCAGATCTTTCTTCCAAGTTGCTTGGGGTGGACAGAAGCCATCAACCTTTCGGTTAGCAGATAAGTGCTAAATAATTGCATTTAATAAATCCTATGTTGCTTTTTGCCATTGAGTCAGAACCAATCCATAGCCAACCCTCCAGCAGGTTTTCAGAGACCGTTAATCTCACAGGAGGAGATTGTCTATCCCTCTCCCACAGAGTAGCTGGTGGATTTGAACTGCATGCCTTCAGGATGGCAGTGAAGCTTCTTACCACCAGGCCACCAGAGCGTAATATTATGTAAGTGGTGCTGTTATGTGCTGTTGAGTCAGGACAGAGGCATAGCAGACCCTCCAGTGGGTTTTCAGATGCTGTAAACCTCACGGGAGGAGACTGCCCATCTTTTTCTGGCGGAGCAGGTGGTAGATTTAAATCTCATGCCTTCAGCATAACTCCTTACCACAAGGCCACAAGAGCAACCCTTGTAAGTGCTAGTTCTTAGTATTATTATTATTTAACTGTTGATTTGCATTGATTATCTCCTTCCTCTAGAAAGAAAACTCCAAATGGACAGGGACTGTGTGTGTTCTTCAGGCCTATATCCCTAGTGTCTACCAAAATTCTAGGTGCATAATAGCTTCTCAGTAAACATTTGTTACATGGATGGATGGATAGATGTTTGGAGGAAGCTAAGAAATAACACCACTTATTCTGGCACTTGCATCTTTCTCACTCTTCTAACTCTGACTAACAGCTGATGTTGGTGAGTCCCACCTACACCAGACCACACATTCCTAGGCAGAACATTTGACAGCATATAAAATCTTCTAGTGCAAAGAGTGGATAATTGGCCAGGAGCCCCCAGAAAGGCTTAACCACAAAAAGAAGACTTAAGACAGACTTAGTGGATAAAAAGGAGCTTCAGTGGGGAGTTGGAAAAGGGTTTTTATGTCTAAGAGAACAGCAAGAGCAGGGCTCTGAAGCTCCAAAGGTTCAGAGTTCACTTGTAGAGAGATGAGATTCTGGATTGTATTAAGTCCCCCCCACCAAAAAACTATGTAATAATATATACACTGTGTAATGCCCTCTCATGATCTGATTAACTAAATAATTATAAGATAATTAAAGATGAAACACAACACTGTATAATCACGTGTCATTCACTCATGCGTTGCGGTTGAGTTGAAAACTCTTTGCTGACCCTCCAGTGGGTTTTCAGAGGCTGTAAATCCCATGAAAAGAGACTGTCATCTTTCTACCTCAAAGTAGTTTGTGGATTCGAACTGCTCATCTCTGGGATAGCAGGGTATCTCCACTAGGCCACCAGAGCACAGCTTGACAAATATAAGGGAAGTTTCCCAAGGGTGTATCTCATTAACGATGAAAGGGGAAAGTCTCTGTAAATTTTTACTGAAACGAATAATAAATTTAAATTAAAAAAAAAAAAAGATAAAAGGGGAGAAAGTCAACTGGAAGGGAGGGAGGACCTCAGTACTACCAAGGAAGAACTGCCAGGACTGGAATGTGTCCTTTCAGACTCATGGATCTGCTTGAAGAAGCTCCTTGGCATCAGGGAAGGCCAAGGTACATGGAGACACATGGAGAATGCTGGGCCTCCAGATGTTAAAAGAAACAAAGACCTTCCTCTACAAAGGATAGAGAGGGTCTTCCCTGAGAGCCAGCAGCTGGAACTTGGATTCTAGTTTCCTAAAGAAACTGTTCAAGAAAAAAAAAATTTGTTGGTGAAAGCTACCCAGTTGTAGTATGTTTTCCAGCATCCCTAGATAACTCAGACAGGTGAGTGGCCTGCAAGGATCATGGTGTAAACGAGAGCCTTGGGCAGGAGAAGACAGTGGACATGAACCTGGCCAGACACTGAAGGCTCTGAACATGAAGCTAAGGAGTTAGTGGTGGGCCAGTGAGGGTTTTAAAACACAGGGTCGAGTCAAGGATGCCCTTTAGACACCCATCTTGGTGGCCATGCAAGGTCAGGCGGGAGGGGCTGCCCTGGCAGTTGGGACAACGAAAAACTATGCAGCCATCCAGGGAAAACCCAGAAGGAGCTGTCAGCATAGGAACCACCATAGAGAACCATTCCCGCAAGAGACGTGTGGCAAGTCAGAGAGGGTCCCCCGAGGGAAGGTGGGCGGGCCTTACCTGCACCAGGTTCCAGCCTTGGAGGGACTCAGCGATGATGGATGTGACGGATGGACAGACGCCTCCAAACACCATCAAGTGGTTCGGCCCGTATTTTATTGCATCGTAGAAGGCTTTCAGCCCTTTTGCATTATCACACTGGGGAGAAACACACAGAGAGAGAAGCCCAAATTAGAAACAGCTTTTCCCAGGGGCAAGAGCCCAACCGTGGGTATACACAAACACATCTTTCCTCGTGGGAAACCTTCTGGTTTCTCTGCTCCCGTGTTGGGGACTGAGCTGTGAATTCAATGAAGTGTAACCTTGGCAGCTCCATCTCACTCTCCTCCTAAAAACAAAACAAAACAAAATAGCAAACCCCCAAACAGTTGTCTTCAAGCCAGTTCTAACTCATGGTAACCCAATGTGCACTACAATGTAGAAGTGTGCTCCATGGGATTTTTCAGGCCGTGATCTTTCAGAAGCAGACTGCCAGGCCTTTTTTCTGCGGTTCATCTGTGTAGATTCAAATTGTCAAACCTTCTGATTAGTGGTAAAGTGCTTAACTGGAATCTTCCAAATCTATGACTTGCAGCTCCCCAGATATCTCCCGCTACAGCACATGAAGAAAAAGGCCCCCCAAATCCCTCACCCTGGGCTCTCCCCAATGCAGGGATAAATTTATTTTGAAGATGAAGAGCCCAAAGAGAACCGCATGTCCAGGTCTGCGCCCAAGACCAGATATTGAGGGAACATGAGTGGTGATCAAAGCTCTGGCCGAGGTTCCAGAGAAGAAAACGGCCCAAAGCTTCATGGTCATCCAATGCGGATGGAAAGAGAGCTCGCCCGCGGCCGCTGGGAGTCAGACCCAGCCCATTTCCCTCCACCTCCTTCCACCGCTCTCCCAGCCATCTGGTCACCTCACCCCGGAAGGTGGTGTTAACCACATCCACCAAAAACCCTTCGCCACCAAGCAGGCTTCTTTTGTAAGAAATCCGTTCTTCTCACTCCCCTGCTTTCCTTGCACATCAAAACCCAAACTTCTTTCAGAGTCTAATTCTCGAAAGGTTAGAAACATAATAAAAATAGAGAAGTGAGCACATGTCAATGTTTTATTTAACTCACTACTCAGCGGATCTGCAGCACGACAAAGTGGGTTCAAGAGAGAATCGGAGGAACAGATTTTTATAGTGAATGAGCAAAATAAGAGAGGATTGCTAAACTATTCAGACGGGTTAACGTCCTGTACAGCACTAAAGCGATGACCTCTGAGGCTAGAGCAGAAAATCACTGACCATCGCGCACCTTATCAGTTTTACAGAATTGTAAATTGTCCCGGACTCGATCAACTGCTAAATATCCCATGTCCCTACAGTCAGGTGGACTCTTCAGCAGGGCGGCTGGAAAATGCGAAGTGCCGTTAGAAAAGACGACGTGGTCATGGAACTCTCCCTTTCAATTATGTACCACCACGGGGCTCTTTTCTCAACATTCGGTATCATGAGAGATGGAAACAAGAGGTCATGTCATCCAGCTCCCAACTACTACCCTGTTCAAGTCCCCCCCCTTTCCCCTTGCTCACCAAGCACAGTCTCCCCAGCCTCCTCTCTGGCCCCGGCATTCCCCGCCTGCTGCCTCTGGGCCTTTGCACATGCTGTTTCCTTTGCTCTTTGTTCTCAGCACAGCTCACTGCTCATCACTCATTCAGGCTTCACTGTCCCTCCACCCCGAATGAGTCCCACCTCAATCAGTCTCTAACACATCAGTCTGTTTCGTGTCCTAACATATTTCCAAGTCATCTTTTCTATCTTTGTCTTATCATTAACTGCTCTTCTGAACTAAAACATAAGCCACTGGAGGGCAGGGCCTGTGTTCATTTATCACCGCCACTTCCCTCGACATTTTCTCAGAACTCTCCAGAACCACTGAGGGCTGAGAGACCTGGAGTGCTCCCTTCATCAGCTGGTTTCCCTTCGCTTCAGCGTCTCTCTCCCTGCTTCGTTCACGCTGTATCCCCTCTTCCTTTCTGTTTCTCCCATCCCCTAAGTGACCACAGTGTGTATCAGAGCTAGTTAGTATTCACTGCTCTTTCCTCATTTCTTTAAAGAACTCCTCCGGCTGCAGCCCACAGTGGGTGGGTGTTGGCGGGGATAGAAAATAAAGTCCAACACGGCTCCCGGCTTCGGTGAGCTCACCGTCTAGCTGGGGGAACAGGGGGACCTGAATACTGGTGGGGACTTCACATGCTGAACAGTGCCCAGAGCTGCAGGAGAGGGGCAGACCCAGGCTGCGGGGGACGCAGAGAGCTCTGGGAAGGGGCCCTGGAGACGGGACATGGTGGTGGAGGAATGGCCTGGACAGAGGCAAGGAGGTAGGAAAGTGAAACGGCAACTCAGCTCACACCAGTAGAGAGCGATGAGGACCTGGAGGCCTGGCCTAGGCTCTAGGCTTGCAAGCACCAGGCTCAGGAGGCCGGGTTCTATCTTGCATATGCTTAGGAAAGAATTAAATTACAATTTTTCATTAATTTAGACACGTTGCTGCTGAGTAACATCAAGTCTGGATCCATAGCTGTCTCTCTACAAGTTTCAGAGGCAGTTAATATCCCGGGAGGAGACTGCCTGTCCTCCTCCCACGGAGCAGGTGGTGGATTAGAACCGCATGCCTTCAGGACTGTAGTGCAGTTTTTTACCACTAGGCCACCAGAGCTCAATTTAGAAATGAGTCAAGTTACTTCTGTTTTTTCACAAAGCAGAAAATGAAGAAGGGAGAAAAGGGAAAATCAGTAAAGAGAGGAGGGAGGAAGAATGGGAAGAGGATGAGAGAGAGCGAAGAGGAAGGAGAAAGGGAGAAGGAGAAGGAGAAGGAGAAGGAGAAGGAGAAGGAGAAGGAGGAGAAAGACATCAGAGGGGGATGGGGAGAGGAAGAAAGGCGAAGTTCTTTTTGCTTCTTGGGCCATTATTAATGATCCCTGTGCCTTGTCAGAAAACACCACTTCCCACCCGCAACAGAGGATGTGCGGATACAACAGTTCATGTTTTAATTGCTTCCACCATGATTTACTGACTCATTTTCCATCTTAATACATCCCTGTAATGATGTTACCTTGTTTTCTCATGTGCAGCCAATGACAACGATTGCACAGTATTACAAGATTTAGATGTAAAGTTGCATTAATATAAGATTCACAACAATGAGCTGCTTTACATCTTTGGCTCACAAACATTTCTCTGGTATTGAGTTTGTATGAGATCCTACATTAGTAATGATGGCTTGGCTTCTTACAAGGAGAGAATATTAGAATATGTCTACTCAAAAACGTGATATTATCTAATAACCAGTATTTGAAAGAAAGGATCTTAGGAATTCACCATTCCTGTATCCCCAAATGTGCATCTGACTCAGTTTTCACCAGCTGGGTGTGATAGGCAGAACTGTGGCCCTTGTGAATATCAAGGATCCTAGGCAATAGGACTTTATGATGTAATGAAGGTTACTAATCAGCTGATCATAACCTTTTCATTATTCATAGCATATATATTGCCCACAAATATATTCAGCTTCTTGAGCCTCTTGAGAAGCTGTTATCCCAGCTAAAGGATGTGCTATTGTCTGGCTGTTGTTATTGTCAGGTGCTACTGAATCGACTACAACTCGTAGTGACCCTGTGAACAACTGCTCTGAACTGTGTCCTCTCTCCCTGCGCCATCCTCACAATCTTGTATGCTATGCCTGAGCCTTTATTATGGTCACTGTGTCAGTCCACCTTGGCAAAGGTTGTCTTCTCTTTCATTGACCGTCCACCTTTCCCAGCATGATGTCTTTTTCCAAGGATTGATCCCTTCTGACAACATGCCCAACATATGTGAGATGAAGTTTTACCACCCTTCCCTCTAGGGAGAGTGCTGGTTCCACTTCCTCCCAGCCAAACTGGCTTGTTCTTTTTATTTTTTTTTATTTTAAATTTATTTTAATGAAAGTTTACAGAGGCTTTGGATTTCCATTCATTCATTGTTGCACTTTTCTCCCTGCACATCCCTTCCCCACAATTCGCATTTCTTTCTGAAAAGAAAAAATGTTTTCATTGTTATGCCACCCTAGTTCTGGACTCCCGTCATAACAATAACATCTAATCATATATCCCTTTTAAACAGTTTCCTCCCTCATCTGTTTCAATGCAGTATATGTTTGTTCTTTTGGTATCCATCGGATACTCACTATGCTTCTCCAACATCACAATTGAAAGGCATGTTGCCTAGTGGGGACATGGTATAACTGTGCGAAATCTGAAATAAATGAGCTTCACACCACTCATCTCATTATCAGTCCACACGAGACATATGTGTCTCACGTAATTGTATAAATATCCATATAACTTAAGGGGGAAAAATAATTTCTGCATGCCTTCTACTATGGAAAACATACCAACAAAAAATTCAGTCCAGCAAACAATTTGCCCATGAAAAGGTGAAGTAGGGAGGCCATGCTGAACTTTCCCAGTGTGTCCAATGCAACCCACAAAGCTGTAAGAGCAGAGGCCATTCTTTAGCTGGGAGGACAAGAGGAAGGCAGAGGTTGGAAGCCTGAAAAGGACTGAATGAGCCTGTGTTGGCTTCAAGGTGAAGGGGACGTCACGTGTCAAGGAAATGGGAACTTCAGTCCTACAATTAAAAGGAACTGAATTCTTCCAACCTCCTGAATGAGTTTGGAATTGGAATCTTTCCCAGAGCTTCCACAACACAGCCCAGCCAGGGGACACCTTAACTGCAGCAGGGTGAGACCCTGGGCGGAGCACCTTGCTGACGTACCCTGTGCTGGACTTGAGACCCACTGAACTGTGAGATCTGAGACTGATCTAAGACACTAAATTGGTGGCAATCCATTACAGCATCAAAAGATAGCAGATACACTGGGTAAAAGGAAAGTAAAGACTAATATGGTGAGGATTTCCTTACAGATCCACCTATTCAGCTTAAAGAACCAGCCTTCATGTAGAGCTTAAATTCCTTTATACTGTGTATGGAGACCCAGGTTTGATTCCTGGCCAGGTCACCTGCTTCACAGCCCCTGCACCACCACTTGCATTTTTCTATGATGCTCATCAGGTTTCCAGACTAAGACAAACTAGGAAGGAAGACCTGGTGAGATGCTTCCAAATG